GAAACCATTAAAAAGATTCCTAAAGCTCCTAAGTGTGATCATTATCACTATCATCATATTTACTTATTTTGTGCCAGGGACTATGATACACATTTTACATAATTATTCACCTGACATTTATTGAGCATCTGCTGTGTGCTAGACACTTTGTTGGGTACCAGGACTGTGAACATAGTCACTCTTTTCAAGAAATTTATGACCTAGTAAGCACTGTTGCATTTAATCTTTATGATAGCCCTGTGAGAGAAGAAACTGAGGCATGGGAGGAAAGTGGTAATTTAAATTGCCTAAGGATATCCAGCTAGAAATTGACATGGCCAGTGTTTGTATCCTGCTCAGTCGTATTCCCAAGACTTTCCTTTAAGCAGTGGTCTATGTGCTTCCCATGCTGTTATGTAAACACTCAGATAAACCTAAGGAATAAATCACTGGGATATGATTAATTTCCTATCTCTTCATGGTCCTCAGTTCTCTATGCCTCTGTCAATGTGTATATCTTAGGTTATAAATTTCACTTGAGCAAGGAAATGAGACAGCCTTGAGTATATGAAGTGTCCTTTACAGAATTCAGAGCGATTAAGTTTACCAGCTCTCTCGGTTTTTCATGAGCATGGTATATGCTGAGCAGGTGCTTGGCTGTCCATCATGAGACTTGAAGTTCTGCATCACATTGGACATGTTCACTGGGATGACACATCTAATTTGATGGCTTCTTATGGGAATCACATCGTTTTGTCATGTTCTCTTTCCTTAAACAGGAAATGTAATCATAAGTATTTTTTTTTTAAGTTTTAAAAAATAGCTTCCCACTGACTCTAAGAAAAAAGAGTTAATTTAATGCTGAATACATTGAACCAGCATTAGGCAGATAAAAATCTAAATTTGGTTGTCATAACTGTCAGGCCATTTAGAAACCAAATAACTCACATCCTGCTAATTGCTTTTATGTTCATTTATCCAAGAGACATGAGTCATCACTCACAGAATCCTAATTATGAATGACTTACACCTTGTTGATGACAGATCTCTGTGTTATCCTTACAGAAACTTCCCAAGATGTATTTTTTCAAAATAATTTTAACTTTCTCTTATTTAATTTATCTGATAAACTGAATTTTTTTTTCTCAGAAATATGTGACCTAGGGGCCTACCTTGCCTGCCTTTCTTTCCTGTAGCCAAAGGATTGTTCAGAAACCAGGAAAACTGAGTTTCTGAACTTTTTGCTGTGAAAAGTGTTGATGCTATGATGACAGATTAATCCAGGCATATGATCGCTGAAGCTCTGTTTTAGAAGCACTGATTCTCTTTAGTAGAGAATCCAAAAAACACCATGAAAGACAACATAGACATGAAAATCCACGTAGTGCGTGTTTGGGTCACCACATTCTGGAGTGATCAAGAAGTTATTACATCATTATTAAGATTCTAGGTATACTTTTCTTAACTGGGTATTAATTATAAGGAATTATTGAAGATTGAGGAGGGAGAATTAATATAAATGTAACTTACAGAATATAACATTTTATATATTCATTGACATAAAAAGTCTGCTGATTCAGATTCAAATGTTATCAACACGTTCACGTAGTCATATGTTTGGGGTATTTCTTTGGTCTTTCTTTTACACCATCAGCTGTCCATTATAGGGACCATGTTGGATTGTCCATATGAAATATTAGGTACAAGGGTGGCTTTACAAGAACTAGAATATAGGGACTAATTCTTGATTCCTCTGAAATAACTCTCAAAGTCATTGTATCCCACATATCTGAGAATTTCACACTAAGGAAAGATTGACATAATTAAAACAAAATTTATGTATTTATTCAGCATAGGGAGTGGTAGTACAAACTGTCTGGGACATCATTCCAAATGGGAGGATCCAGCAATAGGGATCAATCTTTCTACTGAGTCAGATGTTGGCTTCTCCTCTGAGAATTCTGATATATGGACATCAAGGAGTATTATGTATGATGGTAGCTCTTGTGATGTGCAGATCATGCCAGTAGATGCTAGTAAAAAATATTAAATCATTTTTTCTTTAAATCAGCAAACTTTCTGATATTTTCCATTAATACTTATAAATTAGCATAAACGTGGTACTTCAAAATACCCCAAGTTTTGATAAAATAAATGAAAGGATTTCTGTTTTTCATAGTGGAAATAAGAGCACAGATAGGTAGCTTAAGTTCACATGTTTACCAGCAGGCAGAACCAGTGAAAAAACTACACCTGACCTATTATTTTAAACTGACCACAATAAATCACACCCTTTTGAAAACAGTCATAAAATAGGACTTGAACTCAAGGCCTGATGTGATTTCTTTATCATAGTAAGAGTTCCTTGGAGTTTAATCAGTTTCTCCCAGTTTAAGCCTCCCTATACCTTGCAACAAATACAAGTTAATTTTTGGTTGATACTGCATTTGGACTCCCTGGAATTAAACAGTCTCTACAGGGAGAATACTAAATTCTCTAAACTTGGAAATTTATCAGAAATATTTTATTAATGGGTCTTATGAGAAGAGAATAATTTCTATCTCTCTCTCCATCTCCCCCCTCCCTCTAACCCTCTTACCCTTCCTCCATCTCTCCCTTCCTTCCTTCCTTTTCTTCTTCTTCTTTTTGGTCGTATTGCTTATTGAGACAGGGAATCTCATTACATTTCTGAAAAGTGGATGTCATATCAAACTAGCACATTATTATAAATTGCTCTGTACACCATAATATAGATCCCTTCCCTCAGATTCCTGCTCATCCTCTTCCTGCTGTTCTCTCATTCTTAACCAAGGAAAAAGTACATTACAACACAGATAATAATTCTCCTATAAGTCAGGGATTATCAATGCCAATCTAAGTCACTTGAAGCCAGTGTAAATTCCACACAGAAAAGGGGTGATTATTATGATAAGACACACAGAATACTGGCTGTTTTACTGATACATATGTCCATTGCCATAGGAAGAATCCACACTGCAACTCTGGTTGATAGTTTGATTTCTGCATTAATAAGGAAATTAAGATCTTACTCTTGGGATCATCTTATTACAGAAAGTTCACTTCCTAGATCAAAAGTTTATTAGGAATTTTTCAAAAACCAGTTTGTAGCTAGGATCAGGAACCAGGAAGCATGGGGTAAAGTAGACCACAATCATTAAAGAAGGACTTAGTTACCAAGCAGCGGGGCAGGATCAGACAGGTTGGGACCCTGCTGGGCATTGTGCTTCCCGGTTGAAAGAATACAGGCCAATTGTAGGAGCTCAGAGCTGGGCCCAGAGCAGGATGAAGAGGCAGAAGAGGCAGGAGCTAAGCTGGAACACTAATGCAGAAAAATAATTTTATTCGTGATTTTGTCAAGAGGCCACAGGTACAAGGAGATCATAAACGTGATAAATTTTGACCACTGTGTATGAAATAGCCTAGATCAATAATTCCAATTAATTAAACATTTTTAAGCATGGGCTGAAAATGTATTGGTGATGATTGACATCAGAGATAATTGTTTTCATAGATTAAAAAATTACAGAATTGGGGCTTCCCTGGTGGCGCGGTGGCTGGGAGTCCGCCTGCCGATGCAGGGGACGCGGGTTCGTGCCCTGGTCTGGGAGGATCCCACATACCGCGGAGCGGCTGGGCCCATGAGCCATGGCCGCTGGGCCTGCGCATCCGGAGCCTGTGCTCCGCAGCGGGAGAGGCCACAGCAGTGAGAGGCCTGTGTACCGCAGGAAAAAAAAAAAAAAATTACAGAATTGGCATGGCGCAATATTTATCTATACAGGTACAACTTTCTGTTTCTGAAGCATAAGGATAAAATGGTAGTGTTTTATTATTGCCAGTAAAGTAACTTCACCCAGAGAAAGACTATATTTCAGAATCTTATCAACAAATTTGTAACAAGGAAATATTTGCTCTACTTTTTGCTTACATTTAGTAATACTCTTGGTATAACACGTAAAGTGATGTATAGAAAAAGTAATTCATTTTTTCATCCATCCATGTTTCCAACAAATATCAGGTCTGGAGTGGAGAAGTAGATTTGTGGGTCATCAGCCAATAAGAGGTAATTGAAGCTGTGGATGCTAGAAATGGTGCATCATAATTTCAAGTCAGATAAATTTTAGATCCAATAGTGTTAAATGATACTAACAGTTGAAGTAAGATAAGGATTGAGAATTGACCTTTGGATTTAGCAACATGAGGAACATCAGTGGCCTTGACAAGAGTCGTCATTTCCTTGGAGTGGTGGGGGCAAAAGACTAGTTGGCCTAAGTTCAAGAGAGAGTGAGAGAATTTAGAGGCTGTAAATGGACTCATTACTTGCAAAGACTTTGTCTAAAAAGGAAGGAGAGAAAGGGGGTGTTAGTTGGGGGTGCATCAGTTCCCAAGAGGACTTTTTAAACAGCATGTTTGTATGTAGATGAGAAAGATCCAGAAGAGAGGGGGAAATTGTTAATGCAAGCAAAAGAGAGAAGAACTGCTGGGACGATATCCCTCAGGAAGCAAGAGGGAATAGGTTCTAGATCCTAAGGGGGGGAATTAGCCCCTGCTTGGAGACCAGATAGTGATAGCAGAGAAGGTTCTCAATAAATAGTCATGAATGAGTTTTAAAATGCTTAGTATGTTCTTTCTCAAAATTTTATTTCTCATATATATGTGTGTATATGTATATATATATATATATATATATATAATCTGACTTGTCCATTTTTAAAAGGGGATATTTAAAATGTAGTTCAGAATTCATGTGGGGGAAAATAATCATCTCAAAAGAATGAACTTTCACCCATTAATGTTTATGGGAAAGATACTGCTGCAAACTGTCCTCAAACTAAGACATGGTTAATGAAATATCGTACAACATAAGGATATGGAGAATTAACTCTTTCTTGAGATATTCTTCACAATAGCTCAGGGCATCAAGAAGTAGGTAGTAAAAGCAAGGGCCATAGAAAATACTTTTCCCCCAATATTATACATTCCTTATACCTTTTATCCCATAGACTGCTTGGCTACATGCAGACTGAAAATGTGATGATGATAAGCACGAAGTGCATTATTACCAAGAAAAGATAAGCATCGTACCATTTCATGAGAGAAAACATCTTATATCTTTGAGCTTTTCAATGAGAAGTGTAGGATCACTTCCTCCCATGTGAATCACTTTGACATTTAAAGAGTTCTTGGAACCAAGAGAAAGGTAAGGACCATTATTGTAAAAGGAAAATGTTGTAACCCTCATGCAATGTTCCTGGGTTTCTGCCATACAGAGGAAGTGACTTGTAGTGGATGGCAAGAAGGAATAATAGTCATCCAGGTGATGAGTAGCCAATCAAGCCACTTAAGGTTTTCAATCATCAAGGCAATAAAGTGTCAGTCTCTGCCCAGGTTGGGCTCCAGTGCTAGTAGCCCTGACTACATTTTATCATCAACCACACAATGTGTGATCCAAAAGTATTAAGAGACTCAAGCCCTTCCTTTGCTCACTCCTCCAAAGAGTGAAACAGACGTTGGTAAATATTTGTTTAAGAAAGATTCTTTCTGAACCAAACTGGATGCTTTTTCAGAGTAACCACAGAGGTAGGATTAGAATTCTCTGGGTGAGCTAAGAAGAGGTGCTTGGAGAAGGGAAGTTGGGTGTTACCATGAAAAGCTGGAATCCTGCTCTACTGGTGCGTTAGCCTCTGCCACTTTGGAATCTTTTAATTGCCACAAAGCCCCATTTCTGGGTAAACACAATGAGACTCAGTTTGAAAGGAGGAGGGGGAAAGCACAAGGAACAGAGAAGCAGCCTTCCTATTCAGGGAAAATGGTAGGTAACTAGCACTTCATCTGCTGGGAAAAAGAATGAAAATATTGTATCTGAAACCCCAATATGGCATGAAAAAGACCCAATATGTTCAGAATTACCGATTCTAAAGCTCAAGCCCTTGCATTAAGAGAAGAAAGAGGGAGGAGGGAAGGTCTCAAGTTCTTTAGTTACCCAAAAAATCATCAACTTCTCTCTCCTCCATTTTACTGGGATCATCTCAGAGAAGGAAACTAACTGTCCACAGGCCAGGCTAGACAGCTTGGGCTTAGCTGAGTGCCACTGGCTAAATTTAACACCGTGGCTTTCTTGTTCTTGAGTGTTAAGGCGAACAGTAATCAGAGGTGCTATGCTCTAGTTCTTTTTAATCCATTTTTAATTATAGCATAAACACAATACACACAGCAATAGAGTGATTTCCATGGATTGTTTTGGCAGGTATTTGCTTGTTTCCAACTGAATAACTTTCTTCCTTTTTTCCTACTACTCTTTTTTTTTTTCTTTTTTCCCCTGAAGTAACATCTTATTTGAAAGGCCACTGTCCATCTTTTTAAATTAATTACTTTTCTAAAGTAGTAAAAAAGTTTGAGATTTAGAGCAAGCAAGGCAAAGCAAGGTCTATCTCTTTCTGTAAAAATGATTCAAAGTTAGAGAAATAAGTAAAAATTTTATACTTTTTCAGAAAATAACTTTTTGAAATAATTTACATCTTGTGTTTGGTAAACTTGTATTTCACAATGAAGGTGAGGAAAAATTAAACTCTAATATTAAACAAGTACAATAAACGTGTTCAAACTCAATGATTTTCAATTTCATTATAGATAGAGACTTCCTCATTTTCTCTATATTATTGTAATTGCTATTATTATTTTACATGTGTATACTAATGACCTCTATAAGTCAAAAGGCTAACAATAAGTGGAAGAGTCCGAATTTGAATGCAAGACTTCCAGCTCCAAATTTAGTCATCTTTATTCTACAAACACTGTAAAATTCTCAGTATTCCTCATTTTCATATTTTTCCCCAAGTCCCATTCTCTTAGTACCATACACAAAAGTTAATAGATTAAACTTGGGTTAGTATTTCTTCGGGGCTAAATTTATTAGCTATCTCACTTTTACCTGTTTCTCATCAAGTATTTCTAAAGTGTTTCAGGCAAAGTTTAGCTTATTCAGTTAAGATGTGCTTTCACAGCCTACTTAGTCTGTCTGAACCTTGATTTCTAACTCTATTAAATGAGAATAATAATTGCAACTCTTAGTAGAATTATTCAAATATGATTGAAGCAAAAATGTATCTTCCTCATTATGCTTTGTTTTTAATTAGAAATGCATCATAAGCATTTATTAATTTATTTTTTTTTTAAAAAAGAGAGATGACAAGATTTTATTGCAAATGTCATTAATAGACTAGGCTCTTATCCAGCATAACTTGGTGGTAAATTTAGAGAGACACATAGGCAAACAGTTTTCAAAAATAAAAAGGAACAAAAATGTGAAAGAATAAAGGAATTTCTTATTTTTTTTACCATGTGATAATAAGCAGGAGGGATTAGCAAACATTTAAATTCTCTTAGAATAGTTACATTTTTGGATGTTGCAAAATTTCAAACTTAGCTTGACCTTTTGGTGACCTTTTGAGTTTGTCTACTTTTGGCATAAGATAATTTCCTGACTTTAAAGGCATCAGGCAGCTCTTACCAATGAAAGTTTTAATTATTCAAGTTGCATAAATGACTTGAAAACATATGGAATCAATTTCCCACACAATATTCCTTGGTTAAAATATTGTGAGAAAAGTGGCTTTACTGTACATGAATTCAATTTTCTTCAACTTCAGATTTCATGGGGTTCAAGGTAGAAAGATTCCTGTTAAATCTCAAGCAAATCAGAATCGACCACAATGCCAGGGCCCTTCTGAACCATTTCAAGTATTATTAGCTTACATCGCAATCAGTTTTTATCTACACAGTATATTTATCACTGCCCTTCCCCTGCCCCTTAACACACAGTCATATTACCCTTTAAAATGATGCCAAACCTCTGCAGGATAAACCTGGCCTGCTATAATCCACGGAATATCAAAGAAAGCCAAAATATATGATTTGTGGCAATATTCATTTTGCATGGACTTTTGATGAAAAAAACAAGCCCATTTAATGACAAAATCATATTGGAAAGGCCATCATTTATCAACTCACCAGTGTTTACCATGCTCCAAACTTCTCCATTATATGATTTTCACTACTTGTTTTCTAAGTCTGAATTCCAGGCCATGGGGAGATACAGCTCTGCTGTTCTATTACTTATTTTTCTGTCACTTCACTTAATAGCACTGAGCATCATGTGGACTGTGTGGGATTATAACACATGGTATGAAAAACTAGTGGGAGGACATTATAGCAACAGTTATGTTGAAATGAAAATCTGGCATACACACAAAACCATCTTCCAATTCTTTCACATTTCCAATTTTGGCCCTACTGTCATTTATTATTACTAACATTATTTTGTTATCCCTCTGAGTGATTTAATTTTGTGCTTACAGTAACTTTAAAATTCATTATATTTCAGTTGGTTTATCCTTAAAACTTTAGTACAAAATGCATTATTAGATTTGAAATGGTACAGACTGAAGCAAGGTTGATCATTACCCTAATAACTGGTCCCCAAACTCCCAGTATGAAAATTAGGTCCATTGATTTCTCAGTGTGGATAGGAATGTAAGTGGCCACAGGTTGAAAACGAGTTTTGTATGGTTTGTTTGCATTTACAGTTGAATACCTTTGTTCTCAGATTCTGTATTTGTGAGTTCATCTACTCACTAAAACTTATTTGCAACCCCCAAATCGCAGTGCTTTGAGGTCATTCATAGACAAGCCCAGAGCAGCAACAAATTTGTGTCACCCAACAAGCATATGTCCAGCTGAGGTAGAACAAAGGGATGCTCTCATACTGTAAATATGTCTTTTTCACGGTCTCTTTAGTGTCAATTTTTTGCATTTTTTTGCTTTTTGTTGTGATTCGATGTTTAAAAAGAACTCCAAGCACAGTGATGAAGTGCTGTCTATTGTTCCTAAGTACAGGACAGCTGTAATGTGTCTTCTGGAGAAAATATGTGTGTTAGATAAAGTTTACTCCAGCAAGAGTTATAGTGCTGTCAGCTGTGAGGTCAGTGTAATGAATCAACAATAATAGTAAATAAAGTGCTTTTAAACAGAAACGTACACAAAACAAGGTTTGTATTAATCAGTTGATGAAAATATGATGAATTGTAGGAACCTAACCCTTTATGTCCTCTAGGAGCAGTGGTTTAGTATTCAAGGCAATTTTATAGAACAGAACTACCACAAATAAGGAGAATTGACGGTATATGTGGCATTTTCATCATCTTCAGAAACGGTCAGATGGAGAGTTTAGAGGAAGGTATTAATAAGCAGGGTTTATTTTAATGAGGTGCTGTGTTTTACCATATGTCTCATGCTCATCATATCCTTTTTTATTATGGCTTTTAATTCCTTTTTGAAAAATCTTGCTCTTAGTTGTTTTTTTTTTCTTAGTATTGTTTGGGTGTCATTGAAGATATTTCCAAATCTAAAGCTCAACAAAGAGTGAGTTGCTCAGAGCTCCCTGGAAGTAACCTGGCGGTTGTGCCCACTTGGCCATGCAGAACATCTCTGCAGTCTTCCAGGTGGCCACATCACTTCTTCGACAAGATACATACAGCAGAAAAGAGTACTTCCTTTAAACATAAATGGATCCAAATTCAAGCTTTACCAATGCATGCTTATTTAACCTAGAATGAGCTATTTACCTTTGAGTTTCTTTCTCTCTCCTCCTCTGTAAAATAAAGATAATAATACAGCTAACAAAGAAAACTTTTACTTTACTAAAACCAAACCTAGAAACCCCTAGCCATGGAAGAAGCAGCTTGGTGTTGATTTGGGTGGGGAACCAAGTTGCTTTGGCATTTCCCCCAGTTTTATCTTTCTGTGTGGGTGTCTAGATTTTACTACCCCTGCTAGCATCAGGAGGGACCCTCCCAGGCTTGCTGTTCTCTTTAACTGATCTGAAGGTCATTATAGCCTCCAAGAGACTTCGCTAACTATCAAGGTGTACAAGAGCTCTGGGTAAGCATGTGAGGCCTATACTACAGATTGTTCAAAATGGCATTTGGAATCTCATGAGGGCTGAGTTCTAGTTAGCAGTAGCTGAATCAGGAATCTGCACTGTGTAAACTCGGCTTTTTGTCTTTTCTATATTTGTGTCCTTTTAATTTTTTTCTTATTATTTAGTTAAATCCCTTTAAAAAGAGGTGCCTAGAAAAAAAGTTCCAGTTTCGCTAATGAATGCTTTTGGTATTTCTGGCCATGTATTAGCTATAGCTTTAA